TGTTCTTCTCCACAAACTTTTGACGATGGATTTTCACTTACTTGCTAAGAATGCCATCACACTTGTTAAACTTGTAATGGTCCTCTTCCATCTAATTGTTTATCATGTAATACTACTTACAGAGTGATTGATTTTTCATCATGTGTATGTCCTTTTGGATATTTTGATATTGGAGAATTAGAATGTCAAAGTATATCTACCATTTAATAATTATAGGATGTCATTATTCTTGTTATAAATGTTTTGATAATACAGCAGAAGGTTGTATAGTTTGCTCATTAGAAAATCATAACCGAGTTTTAAAAGGAAATATTTGCAAATGTGCTGATGGATATTATGAAGATCTAGGCATAGCTTTGTGTAAAAGTAATTATTTTAATCTTAATTTAATAGAATGTTCATACAAATGTGAAACATGTGCAATCAAAGAAGATTAATGTTTAACTTGCCCTCTTAATTCTTTTCGTGTTCTTGATCTTATTAAAGGTTGTTAATGTCTGGGAGAATTTTATGAAAACGAAAATGAAGTAATTTGTTAAAGTAATTTGAAAATTAATTAAAGAATGTCATTTTAAATGCAAGTCTTGTAATGTTTATGGGGAAAACAATTGTCTAACTTGTGATGCAATTGCATATAGAGAATTGAAAGATAATTAATGTAAATGTAAGCCTCATTACTTTGAAATGAACGTCTAGGAATGCAAAAGTAATTATTAGTACTAAGTTTAGTTTGTAGTGCCTTCTGTTACGAATGTATTAATACTTATAACAATTGTACTTCATGCTATAATGATAGATACATAGTAGGAAGTACATGTTAATGCATTACTAAATTTTAAGGAAGTTCAATTAGTAAATTCGAATTTAATGGAGGGGTTAAATGTTAAAGTAAGTCATTAGACTATTCTAGATTGTCATTATTCTTGTGCCACTTGCATGGGAATTACAGAAACAGATTGCATATCTTGTATAGACGTCGATCAAAGGTATTAAGATGGAAAAACTTGTCTTTGTAAAGAAGGTTATTATGATGCAGGATTACCTATTTGTGAAAGTATTACTTCAATTTAATAAATAGAATGTAGTTACAAATGTAAAGGATGCAAAAAATAAGCTGAAATGTGCATCTCTTGTAAAGATAATACATTCAGATTACATGTTTCAGGTTTTAATAAATGCCAATGTATTTAAAGATATTATGATGATGGATAAAACGATGTCTGTTAAAGTATTTAGTATCAATCTTCATTTTAGAGTGCCATTATTCTTGTCTTAGATGCAATGACATTGATACTAAATGTGAATTATGCTCAATTGAATCTAATAGAACCTTTAATGATCAATTGTTTACATGTGATTGTAATGTTGGATATTTTGATAATGGAGAAGAGATTTGTTAAAAATGCCATTATTCATGTTTCACTTGTAATTCTGGAAATTCTAATTCATGTATGTCATGTATTGATTAAAATACTTCAAACAGAGTATTTTATAATAATACATGTAAATGTTTATTTGGTTATTATGATGATGGTTAATCAACTTCATGTTAAAAATGTGATATCCAATGTTTAAGTTGCATTAATTAATCTTACTCATGCTTATCTTGTCCATAAACTAGAAAAATTGAATAAAATTGTAAATGTTAATAAGGATATTATGAAACTGGTTAATAACTTTGTTAATAATGTAATTAAAATTGCATGAGTTGTGAATTTACACCAAATAATTGTACCTCTTGCTCAAGTGATTAATTTCGAGTACTAAACTTAAGTTCAAAAACATGTAATTGCTAAAGTGGGTATCTTGAAATTGATGGAATCTGTTAATAATGTCATTAGAGTTGCTCAACATGTTCATAATCTATAAATAATTGTGCTGCTTGTGATTAATTTCGATATTTGAAAAATAATAAATGTATATGTAATGAAGGAATGTATGAATCAATTTAGGATAAATAATGTAAATTATGTAATAAAACTTGTTTGACTTGTACTTATACAAATGATTATTGTTTAACATGTTCGATTGATAATCATAGAATATTTAAGTCTGGAAATATATGTGAATGTGAATAAGGATATTTTGAAAATCCTATTACCTAGAATTGTCTAGAATGTGATAAATCTTGTTTAACTTGTTCCTTATAATTTGATAATTGCTTAAGCTGTGATTCCAGTTTTAAATTATCTTTGGTAAATAATAAATGCTTATGTTCACAATCTTATTATTTTGATTCTACAACTAAGTAATGTTTATGTAATAAATCCTTTATATAATTAGAATGCAATATAACTTGTCTAGAATGTAACAATAATATTTAATGCATATTATGCAGAGGAACAACCAGGCATTTTGATTCAGATACAAAAAAGTGTATTTGTAATTAAGGATATTATGAAACAAACGAATAAAACTGTTAATGTAATTTTGTTACTAATATTATTAGAGTGTCATTTTTCATGCGAGACTTGTGAAAATACTAATAATCATTGCTTAAGCTGCTTAGATATTTACAATAGAATATTAACAAATAATTAATGTCTTTGTAAAGATGGATATTATGAAGTTGGGTTTGAATTATGTTAGAAATGTAATAATATTTGTAAAACCTGTTTGTCTACTTCTACTAATTGTTTATCATGCTACGATATAGAACATTTCAGATTTCTTTTAGGAGATAAATGTTTCTGCAATCCTGGTTATTTTGAATCAGGTTCAGATATATGTTTAAGTATTGACTGTTTATTATAAAATAGAATGTTCAAATTAGTGTAAGACTTGTTAGGGTTAAGATGATTATTGTACAAGTTGTGATATTGATTCAAAAAGAGTTGATTAATCAATAATACATAAATGTCCTTGCATTGTTGGATTTTATGAAGATTAAAATAAAATCTGTTAAAGTATATTAAATAATTATTTATTCATAGAATGTCATATAAAATGTTAAACTTGTATTAATTAGAGTGGCTAATGTTTAAGTTGTAAAGTTTTTTTAAATTCAAATCGAAATAATTTATCTGATTTATGCAATTGTAAATAAGGTTATTATGATGATGGAACGTAAATTCAATGTTAAAAATGTAATTTTAAATGCTAAACTTGTGAAAATGAGGAGAATAATTGTTTGGTTTGTTAAAATTCAATAAGAGTAAATCCGCCATCATGTAATTGCATGGATGGTTATTACGAAGATGAATAACAAATATGTTAAAGTAAAATTAATTTTTTAAAAATAAGTTTGTGCTTCTTAATGTCATACATGTATATTATAAGAATCAAATTGTCTAATCTGTAGGGAAGGAAGGATAGGAAAAGATTGTAGATGTTTTGATGGATATTTTGAATTTGGTTCACTACTTTGTGAAAGTAAATATTTTTATTAAATTTACAAAGAATGTGCATTTTAATGTGCCAGTTGTGATTCAAGTCAATAAAACTGTAAAACTTGTAAAGGTGATAGAATCTAAGAGCCTTAATGTATTTGTTAACCAGGATATTTTGATGATCTATTAAATGAAAATTGCTAAAAATGCAATAGTTTTTGTTTAGAATGTAATATAGATGGATGTTTATCTTGTAATGCGAATAGAATATTAAATGAAGAAATGGATTGCATTCCTCCACCAAATTCAGTTTGGTATGATCATACACCTTGGTGTTCAAGTATATTGTTTAATTATACTAATAGCTTGTCAAATTGCAGTTGTTAAAACATATTTATCAGATGACATTAGCAAAATTATCATTCGTTTTGATTTTCCTTTAAATCCCAAAGGATTTTATTCATAAATCCAAATCAATAAATGTTTGTAATTATTTGAGTTAGAAACTACAAAAAGTTTTGGTAATAATGCTGTTTGTTACCTAAACCCAGATGACTTTTAGGAATTATTCATTACTTTGGGGGAAAACTCATCAATAAATGTTGGTGATGAAATACTTTTTTAAAGTAATTCATTGTCTCATATAAATTGTGGTACTACTTTACAAAAGTTTTTTTTCACAACCTTATAAATGCCAATTAATCCAATTCCACCATAAATTTAATACAATGTACCTCCTCATTTACTAAATCCATATGCAGAAAACTTAGTGCATGTAAATTAAATTTCTAATAATGGGAATAGAAAATTAAAGAATATATTGTGGAGTTATGAAGCAGAAGACAATGAAAAAAGAGAAACCTTAAACTAATTCTTAGATTAAAATAATTTAATATAGGATTATAATTTATTCATACCAAAGTTTACTTTACCTCCTAATAGTTTAATAAAATTTAAGATATAATATTAGAATTTCATTCATATTAAATCCTTTTCAGAATTCACTTTATTAACTCATTCAGGAGAATATCCATAAATCAATATAAATTTGAAACCATATTATTTCGTTTTTGAATAAATATCAGTTAGTTTATCTGTTGGAACTCTTAATCAGTCAAATCTACAAGATAATTCTAGATACTAAATTTAAATATTTGAAAAAGATAGATAACCAAAAAAAACAACTTCTTCACATATAAATATTTCAATTCAATCTAATCCTTTTGAGACTATCTTTACTAATATTTCAAAATATACTTTAAGTCCAAATACAACTTATACATTTTAAGTCAATTCAACAAATCTAATGACCAGCAAGTCTTAAATATAATAATTTAAAATTCATATTCCATTTGCTGGATTAATCTGTTAATTTAATAATAGAGGAATTTAAAGTATAAGATAAGATCTAAATCTATAAATAAAATGCAAAGATTTGGACACAAGATATGATTGGAACAATGATCCAGATTTATATATTTAAGTTTCTTGTAAAGACCTATCATTAAATAATACATGTAAAAATTAATAAAAATAAACAATTCATGTTAATGCAACGGATTTTATTTAATTTATCAAGAAAAATTCTATGTCAACTTTTATAGTATAGGAATGGACAGTTAATGTTACAAAATTTAGTCAATCTTCTAAATTTAATCTAATTATTGTTTATCTTGAAGATAATTTTCCTTCATTAGAACTTGAATATAATCAAGGTTATTATATGAGAAAGGTAAATAATTTTGAATAACTCAATTTTACATTTCTCATACCCCTTACTTAAAAACGTTATTTATTAGATCTATCAATAGCAATTATATATAACTATGAAATAATAGAAATACTACAACCATAATATACTTCGCACAGTTTAAAAATATTTAATAGTATTAAAGAATTGAATTTTGATGATACCATAAACCTTAAGTTTAGTGCTTAATATACAAATAATATAATGCCTAGTATAAATAACATCAAACTAAATATTAATTAGCCTCCTATTTGTTCAAAATTATTTATTATTCGGTCTAACGATTTAGCTCTAACTAATATTTAAGTCGCTACAATTTGTGAACAATCAAATGACTTTCCTTATAAATATTAACTTAGATTATTTTTGAGAGAATTTGATTTGACAGAATTTTTAAAAGGAGAATCAGATAATTCCTTAGTATTCTATTCATTTTAGAGTCAAAATTAATTTCAAATTTAAATACCCACTTCTATTGATCAATCAATTGTTGGAATTTTAGTATCAGTGCTTGATAATGGTGGATCAATGAGTCATATTTTTGATAAAGTTACTGTAAAACCTGCAAAACTTGATTGTTCTTAAATATAATTTTAGAACTTGACCTTATAAAACAAGATATCATTGCTTTTTGAATCGATGAATCAAAAATGTGATTAATTGCATTATTTAATTTATCTTGATTTGCATTACTAATAAATTTTTCCCAATACGAATGAAAATACTTTAAAATTTTAAGCCATAAAATTATATAAACAATTTTTATATTAATAACCATTTAACTAATCTTAAAATCGATTATTGAGTGAAGAAACTTAAATAAAATGTTTTGATTTAAAGTCGAATCATTTATTTATTACATCAAATTCAACTGATACTGTTGTTAATTTGACAAAAAAAATAGAAAATTTACAATAAGAGA